GGGACATCGACTTCGCCTGCAACGCCGCGCCTGAGAGGCTTCTTGACTTAGCTGTCTGGTAGGTGCCGGCGCCTGGCGGGGCGTGGGTGCGCCGGGCGGGCTCAGAAGTGCGCACCCCGGCACCGGCACCGGTTTTGGTGACGGAACGCCTGGCCGGGCGCATTTCCTGCGCTTCGACCAAAAAGGGCGTATGCACCGTAGTAGTGGTTTTGGCTTACGCCGTTTAGCACGGAGCTTGTTGTGTAACACACGTGTGTGTGTAGGAACAAGCTCAGGCGGGCGGCCGAACAGCATTTCGGCTCGCCCGTCAATTTGTGTGATCCCACCCGCCCGACCCTGGGCGATTTGATATCGACTGGAGTATATACGGCCGGCGACCGTCCACCGGACGGTGCCCGGGGCGGGCGCAGAAGTGCTCACCTCGGCACCGGCACCGGTTTTGGTGACGGAACGCCTGGCCGGGCGCATTTCCTGCGCTTCGACCAAAAAGGGCGTATGCACCGTAGTAGTGGTTTTGGCTTACGCCGTTTAGCACGGAGCTTGTTTTGTTTTGGTGTGTGTGTGTGTGTACTACCCTCGCCCATGGGTCGGGGAAGGGCACGTCCCATCGTGTGCATTCCTCGCACGGGGACAGGGGGAGGGTGGGGAGCCGCTCCCCCACCCTCTCCAAGTAAACGTACCTGCAATCGGCCTGCGCCTGGGTCCTCAGGGACAGGCAGCGGCGGCCTCATCTTCCCTTTTCATTTTCATTTCATGTCGTGCTGTCTGATTCATGCGGGCCTCACACAGCGAGGCAGGACCCATACCCTCATGATCCTCCCATTTTGCTGTGTATGTCATTCCTACGTCTGGCATACCTGGCACATGTCTACCATGAATGCACGCACGGACCCTTTCATTTTCGATGATGGGGATCCGTTCATTGCCTTCGGGCGCTTGTCTCTTTCTCTGTCACCTTCAGCTCTTTCAAAACACTGCGCGTGCGGGTGGGCGGGCGGGGGGGCGGGGGCGGTCGGGCGGGGCGGGCGGGTGGGTGCGAGTCGGCCGGCGACAGTTTCGACACACGATCCAGACATGGCGTGTTCGGTGAGGCCAGTTTAGGGTGGGGTGGAGTGGGGGTTGCTGCATTGACGCCACCGAACTCACCGGTCGGGGCGGGGACGGCGAGGTCGCATCGCAAAGCCGGCCATCGTTGAGCTCGATCGCGGCGGCGCCTACCTCTTGCGCGATCTGCGCGGGGGTTTCCTGACCTGGTAACGGCTGCAGACGAGCGGTCTCAAGCCACCTCCTCCGCTCAAGCAAAGGTCCACCCCCACACCCAGACGGAAACCCTCCCCAGGCCTAAAGAGGGAGACACGGCAGGTGACTTGAGCCAAAACTCTTCTTCTCCCACGCTTAAGGGGCCTGTTAAGCCCCTCGACCATTTACGCCTGCCCGCTTCTTTTGCCAAAACTCTCTCTCTCTCTCTCTCTGTCTCCCTCCCCTTCAGCTCTTTCCGCTATCAGGTATTCAGCCACCCAATGCGAGGCTCAAGGACCGACCGTTCAAGAGACCCCTTTCACGATCATGAGGGCATGCGCACAGGACGTCATGTGCTTCCGCTAAATTCAGTGTGCAGTGTTCTCTTCCGATTCTCATCCTAGTGCTGGTAGACCTGAGGATCCAAAACTGAATTTGCATCAACCGTGGTCAAGGTCTACTACTGCGCTAACTTGGTAATGCATTGCGCATATATTGCAAAATGTATCCAGTTTACACTGGCCACGGCAACGGCCAAATCCAAATGTTTCACCCGATGAGCATGCCTCCGCACACAGTGTGGACACAGCACGCGCAGGCAGCACCACCTGCGATGATGGACGCTCCATCAGGCAGGGCCGTGGACGCGGCTAGCAGCGGTTGCTCATAGTGTCCGCCGGCTCCCAAGTGCAGATCGGCGTATTGTCTTGGAGCTATGGCAAAAGAAGATGTCTTGCGTCGAGGAGGCTTTGGCCAGATGGCACGTCTGGGGGCTTTCTGGGCCCGCACAGCCAGAAACTGGACGAGGCCGCCGGCACCGGGACAATGGGGCTGCTGCTTCGGTCTTCACTGGCATTCTGTGGTCCCAGACTTGAAACTCAAACTTTAGGAGTGTACTGGGTTGTATGTGTGCGTACACACCCGTATTCTTAGCCGATTTCCCGCAAAAGCGGGTGCGGGTCAACTCGGACTTGTCATCCGAGCCCCCAAAGATGTGGGCTCTGTTGCCTCGGCCCCTAACCGTGGGTGGGTCGTCTATCGCATTGCAGCAATGCATGAAGGTATCTGTCATCTTCAGAGGAACTCGGCCCATACAAACCCACAAGACGACCCGTCCAGCTTGTCTGGTTTTGCCCACGAGTTCGGTGGTGTTTGCTCTTGGTCAGTACAGGTAGCGAAGTTCTGCGATGAGGCTGACTGGATCAACATGTGTCGCTGACTTGGATTTCCCTTCGACTCCAGCTTTCAGTTTTCCTTTGTGAAGCGAAGGATGCCGGGCCCCTCCAGCAACCTGACGGCATCAATCGGCCGGCGGACTTTCAGTTCATGCAAGAGGACCTTGCAAGGTATCTGAAGATGGACGCTACATAAATCGGCATCACAGCTCAGGCTCAGTAGCTGATAGATGCGGGTCACAAGACGAGTGAGCATGTTTGAGGGACATGAGCATCTGCAGGGACGGAGCAGGACGGACATAGGCGAAAAAGTCTACATCCACGCACGGGAACACAGTGCAACAGAACATGTTGCCATCTATGCCTCCTTTGTGCAGAAAAACTCAGGAGTGCTGCTCTGAGGTGTACTGCATGTGCCCAGCATGTCTTGTAGGGCTGAAGCCGCGGATGTGCTGCACGTGGCCCAAGCCAACTCAACGTTCTATTTCAGACCTTGGCCTGGCAGAAATTATCTTGTCAGGCCTTCTTCATATCCAACCAAAGCTTCTGATGTGATGGATTCCTCTCTGTTGCTGAATGCAGCAACCAGTACTAATGCTGGCACTTTCAGTCCTGGCGAAGGCTTGTCCTCTGTCGAGGTTGCGGTAAGGCTAAAACAAGATGGTCCAAACGAGCTGGCACCGCCTCCGAGTGAGTCGTTCCTTCACATTCTTGTACGGCAAGTCCAGAGTGTCTTCTTCCTGCTTACAGTTATTGCAGCCTTCGTTTCGCATCTGTGCGGGGATTCCCCAAGAGCAGTGCTCCTGCTGTCCGTCGTGTGCACAGTGAGCCTGGCAAACACATTCGGTGAGTACTCTGGCCAAGATGCTGGAAAAGCTTTGAGAAGCATGATCGCTCCAGAGACTCTTTGCCTGCGAGATGGGAAGCAGTCAAAGGTCGCGGCCTCCACGCTGGTCGCAGGAGATGTGGTATTCTTGCAAATGGGTGATGTTGTGCACGGCACTCAGTCGCGGTCCCTGCAGACTGACTCTGATTTAGAACGTGTATGTATGTGATATGCGCTTGCATAGAAGAACAACAAAGCTAATTTGCATGCAAGGCCTGCAGATGCAGTGCTCCTGGAGGCTGTGGATCTCAAAGTCAATGAATCCATCCTGACAGGGGAGCCAGCAGACGTGAGCAAGACCATTGAAGCAAGTAGTGAGAGCATGCCGCTCCGCTCGAACATGCTCTATAGCGCGACATCTGTGACCTCTGGGCGTGCAAAAGCGGAAGTGCTGTACACCGGAATGCAGACACAGGTCGGACAGATTGCCAAGCGACTACAGGAAGGAAAGAGTTGGACGGAGAAGAGTCCACTCCTCGTCTCCGTAAACTCTCTGGGCCGCAGATTGAGCATTGTAGTCATCGGCGTCGTTGTTGGCGCTACCTTGTTGGCCATCGCAACAAAGTACCAAGATCCTGCAAACCCATGTCCTGCGCATGACTTCCACTGCGCCGTCAAGACCGCACTTCTCCGTGCCATCGTGATGTCCGTGGCCGTTGTACCGCATGGTTTGCCAATGGTGTTGACCATCATGCTCCGAGCAAGCTCCAGCCGAATGGCTGCAAAAGGTGGTCAGGTCATGAAAGTATCAGCGGTCGACTACATCTCTGCGACGACTGTAATTTGCACAGACAAAACTGGTACTCTCACCGAAGGACGTATGACAGCCACGACTTTGACAGGTTTCTGCCGGGATGGTGCTGAAAGTGCTGCAGGCGGCACCAGTAAGGAAAGCACATTGGCATTCTATCCTCTTCGAGGCTTTTCACCTAACGGTGGGTTGTTCGTAGCTTCTCAGCTCACGAACGAGCACAGAGAGCGAGTGGACGCTGTTTATGATGTACACGTGGAGCGTCAAGATTTGGCGGTGGCGGGTATTCCTGATCTTGCCAACCATGAATGGTCAGAGGCAAGCATGGATCAGCTCATGGCAAAAGCGCATCTGGCATGTGCCTTCTTAAGCTGCTACCAGACATATCTCTACCAAGACCCAGAAACCAGGCAGTGGGCGGTCAGCGGCAACATGACAGAGGCTGCGCTGAAGGTGGCAGCCGCAAAGGGGGGCTTTAAGGACAGCAGCAGCTCTCTGCTGAAGTCACATCGTCGGCTCCCGGAGTTAGACATTCCATTCACATCAAAGCGTAAGTTGATGGCCAGCATTCACGAGCTGCCAGAGAATCGCAAGTTGGAAAGCTTGAAGTTCCCACACGATTGCTCCCACATTGTCATCATCAAAGGCGCTCCTGAAAGGCTTTTGGACGTAGCCGGAACGGTCGCTAAATTTGCAGCCGGAGCGTTGGAGATCCCAGGTGAAACCCTCACAGTACATGACAAAGATGCGCTGCTCGCAGCAAACACAAGGCTGAGCAGCAATGGTTTGCGCAGCTTGCTCCTTCTCGTGCGACCCTTGGTTCAGAGCGAGCTGGAATCTCTCGCAGCGTTGCGTTCAGCAGACGAACGGCTCAGTCTCATTCTGGAACCATCCAGGGTATGTCCGCTAAGTCTCTGGGGCATTCAGGACCCCCCACGCGCATGCGTCCCGCAAAGCATTCGGGGCTGTCACGAGGCAGGGATTCGTGTGATTATGGTAACGGGTGATCAGCAGGGAACGGCCGCTGCCATTGGGAGACAAATCGGTTTGTTGCAAGCGGACGACGACGAAAGCTCTGTGACTGCAAAGTGTACTGACCTTCATGAAGTCACCCCTCTGCCAACGGTGAACAAGCGGCGGCTATCTCGACAGGCACAAGAAGTGGTGGAGACAGCCTTCCCAAGCAGTGACAGCAGCGGGTGGAACAAGAACGTTCCGCGGCATGGCTCCAGAAGACTGTCTGTACATGATCAGCGCGGACCAATGGACCAAGAACCCGAGTTCAAGTCTGAGGAGGATCTGATTCGCATCACATCAAGAGCCAAATGCTTCGCGCGGGCGCAGCCTTCAGACAAAGTAGCCATAGTTGCTGCACTCCGTGCAGCAGGACATATTGTAGCAATGACAGGTGACGGTGTGAACGATGCGCCGGCATTGAAGGCTGCGGATGTTGGGGTTGCGATGGGGATCTCTGGTACGTCCGTGGCCAAGAATTCGAGCGACCTGATTCTGTCGGACGACAACTTCTCAACAATATTGCTGGCCATTCAGGAAGGAAGGCGCATCTTCAGTAACACGCAGAAATACATAATGGTGAACTTGAGCATGAAGTTCGCCGAGGCCACCAGTTTGTTGCTATCTCTCTTCTTGGGAGTTATTCCTGTTATAAGGCCGTCGGCACAGTTGCTGAACATGATTGTTACGCATGGTGCCAGCACGCTTTGCCTGGCTTTTGAACCCGCAGAAGTGCACAGCACGAAAGTCCCACCAAGAGAAGTAAACGGCATGCTCCTCACTCGACGCCATGTCATGTGGCGGATGGTCCCGTTCATCGTGTGTCTCCCGACGGTGGCCTATATTTCCCTGCTGCTTGGTACTTTCGGAGCTACGGGCTTTGTGCGAAATCGAGACCTGCTTGGAGGTGCAGTCGCATCTGATTTGGCCAACGGTCAAGCAGCATGTGAGCGTGCAGGCTGGGAAGACGAGACCGGTCAGCATCAGGAAGACGCACGCCCCTTCCATTGCCGATGTGTGGTGTACTCCGACCCATCCGCGTTACAAACTCATGTTGTGGAGCATTGGGGAACAACGCGACACGTAGCATCAATGGACATGTCTCGGAATGTGTGGGATCTTTCATTGGACAATCACGACTGGGAGGGAAACGCCTCGAATTTAGTCGGTCCGTGCAGGAAAAATCCACACCTGTGGTGCTGGCACCTTAGTCTTCCCAGGTCTCAGCGGCCCGTCATACCTCCTGGACTAGGCTGTGTGGATTATGGCATGAGGATTGGGCAGACCATGTCTTTTGTCACCATCATGTTTGGCGAGGTCTTAAGCATCATGTGCTTCAGGACAGAACGATTCATTCTAAGAGCGCTTCTTGACAATCCGTGGTACAACTTGACGCTGGTGTGCAATGTTTTGGTGATGTTTACGCTCATTTATATGCCGGCTCTTGCAGATGCCCTCCAGTTTGTTCCACTGACGCCGAGCAGACTCTCTGTTGCAATCGCTTGCTCCGTCGTGCTGGCTGTTCTCCACGAGCTGGCCAAAGCAGGTTATCGAGCTCGCCAAGAGCCAATAAATGCAGCTTTGCGGAAGAAGGCTTTGGTACTTTCTGGTGCCAGGCGAGCAAGCTTTCAGGAACAAGTCTAGCTTGAGCAAGAGCCGAAGCAAGGAGCAACTGTGCGCCAAAAAGCATGAGCAACAGACGGCATGTGGAATATGCAAGCCCGGAAGAAGTGCATGCCACCCCCCCCCCCCCCNNCCCCCCCCCCCCCCCCCAGACAAAAATCAAAAAAAACACAAGACCAAAAAAACAAAAACAATCCTTTTAACAGCGTGGGTCATGTTGGGAACCACCGCGTCGGGCCACTAGCACGCTGCACTTCGCTAGCTGGAAGATGGCCCGGCATGGGCACGGAAACTATCAGAAGTCTCCACCAAAAAATTATTGGACGAAGCGGGTAATCGAAATGCTGATCGGGACTGGCTAGCCAAGCTGAGCCGAAACAAGCAACAAAGCATCGCGCGGACCTGGTCCAGGGTTCGAGTCTCCTTCAACACACCGAGTCAAACTTTGATTTCCTTTTGTTAGAGACGCACCAACAGCAGTTCCCACACTTAGCTTGGGCAAGCTTCTGAATTAGAAGAGCAGTGTTCGAACGAGTCGATAACCCATGCAAGCAAGCAAGACTTGCAGACGAAATCCCAAGACTGCCGGCTAAGCCTTTGAAGTTTGTCACGGAAAACGGGAAAACAAATGATGCCTGCGTGGATTCCCATTTAGTGAAAGACCACGCACCAGGAAGGTAGATAGCAGAGCCACCGCGACAAGCACCAAGAGATCACCAGGAGACTGGGATTCAGAAGAGGCAGCACTCACCATGGGTTTGGTGAGTTTCGAGTGTATTTCAAGTCACCATCCCAAAATGGATCCCCAGTGACAGTGCCTCCCCGCCTTGTTTGGTGGGTTTCGAGCTTTTCAGAGCAACACGGCGGAAGGATTCAGAGGGTACTGCGGGCTTCACACATGAATCCTGCCGCTCCGGGACTGTCTAAATAACGGGACATGAGCACTAACTAAATCGGGCATCGCAACACAGCGGGAGCGCGGAATGTTTAACGGGCGCCTTGCGGACACACCAACCAGTTCTCTTGACACCGAACCAGTTCTCTTGACACCGAACTGAACATCACTGAACTGAACGCAAGACCACCACAAACTGCACTGCATTGTTTGGGGAATTTCAGAGGAGCATTTGTTGGCCGTCGCAATGAGTGCGTTGGTTCGTTGCCTATCACAAATCGACCGTCGGCTCCAGCTTCAGTCACAGATCACCAATAGGATGACAGACTTGGGCACCCTTTGATTGATAGCATTTCCTGACATCTGCACAATCCAGTCAGCCACTCTCGGAGTAAAGTTGTAAACAGCTATGGATGGAAGAACCGCTGGGTGCTCGGCTTTGTCAAGGCTTTGGATGGCATTGGATTTTCCTTGGAACATTGACCGCCTGTTCATAAATCGAGGATGTGGTGCTCAGCGGCAGGAAACCGGTTGTTCTGCGCCATCTGCTTTGCTTGAAAAGACTGACGATGAGGACAACAAACGAAAATTGTTTTCGTACCCCGCGGCAAGTGGCCCAGTGGCTTTCAGCTTCAACTTTCACTGCAATGTCACTGCGACGCGATCGTGAGATTCCTTGGTGAGGTTGCAGGGCAGGTCAGCAATCTTCGCACGGCTCTCGGTGTCGACAGTCGATGTCGAAGTTGCACAAGCTGGTCGCTACTAAGGTCCGATTATGAGTATTCTGATTCCGACTACTCGGACCTGTAGTACATTAGTCGCTTGAGGCAACTATGCAATAATTTATCTGAGACTCGGTTCTTGACATGCAGGACAGCTCCAGCTCCGCATCTGATGCCCGTTGCTGCCTTCCACTTTTGCTAGAAAAGCAAGTGACGTGTTGGAGCCGGTGCACGGTTTCTCCAAGCTAACCTCCAGACTGACCGAGGTTTGCGAGCGCGAGATGCTTTGAACTCCATCTGGGATGCAGACTCGAAGGCACTTTTCTGTGTTGTCTTATGCTTGCTGAATCTTGCAGCGCAGCTCGTTGCAAAACTGGTCTCTTCTTCAGTTGTGTTCATCAGGAAGCGCCTCCACCCGGCATCTGGGATGGTGCCAGCGATGTTGCAAAATGGAAGCATTTCGCGCACATGGTGTGCACATAATCACAGAAGCTTCGACCAGGTGACCAAGAACATGACGCAGCGAGAGGGCGTGACCATCGCTGCCCAGTGCCCGTGGCATGTGGCAACATGTGTGCCCTCTACCCCAATCGAAGAAGTGACATGTTTGGCACAGGTGGTCGATACTGGTAGTGCTCGGCGACCATACGCCAGAAGTCTGAGCGTGACACTCAAGAGCGATGTCGAAGCGGCAAGAAGTGCTCTGCAAAGTGCTCTTTGGAGTCTTAGTTTGCAACAGTTTTTTTTTTGTGTGTGTGTGTATATTTAATGGCTGCCGCCAATG